CCAAGATTCAGACCAGGAGTCAAATGCAGCATGCTTGGATGAAGAGGATCCTTTCTCAAAATTGAATGATCATGGCCTGGTACTAAGCTTTAATGCAGTGGAGGATCACACTACGGAAAGGGAGGGGCCCATTCTATACACACATTCAGAGGGAGAGGATTTAGTTTTCATAGACACAATGCTTAGACCACTTCAAATAGATCTCTCAAGCTGCCCGACGAATCCCTTATATCTGCGCAAGGAACAAAAGGGAAGGAAAACTTACTCCCCTTCACAAATCGTTACAAGAAGTAGGGCTAAACTTCTAGCCCAAGGCAGGAGGGTCACACCAATTAGATGGGAAGAGGAACAGGAACTGATCGATCCTCAGGAATCTCATGAACAAGAGGTAATTAATTTCTTCAAGCTTTGTTGTCCAAACAAAAAAGAAGATCGAAAACCTCCTTCAAAGCCAATGAGCAAAAGCCAGAAAAAGAAGTTAAAAAAGAAAAAGAAACACAACCAGGTTTTTGTTTTGGGATATGATGAAGAGGATTTTTATATATAGTCTACATTGCTGGCCAGTTTATGTCGTTTTGATGGTTTTAGTTCATCTGGCTTCTCAAATCATCGTGGTCTTCGTATCTCATGTTCTCAAATGGTTTAGTGAGGAAACGTTTTAATTTTATATGTTTATTCTTGGAGCAAAGTATGACCAGTGGCAGGTTGCTTGGCCAATTGCTTTTCTTATGACCTTGGGTTTCCTCCATTGCTATTGGAGAGATTTGGCTGGAATATTTGGAAGTACTCATGCAACGGGATGTTTGTAGATGCTAAATGATGATGGTCTAATAGAGGAGGCCACTGTTTTCTCAATGACTAGGGTTTGGAGCTACTGCCTGGCCTTCACTCAGCTCCTACAGATTACACGCTCTTTGTTTCCTGTTCATTGTTGGGTTTTTGTTCAATTGTGTAGTCTCCTTTTCAATGCCATACTCTTGTTCACTGCGGCAGTTTCTTGAGATTTGAAGCTTTATGTGGATCTTTACAAGCTGAAGGAACAGAATGCAAGACCATCGGGCCATGCTTCTATTAGGTTCTCGCTGGGTATCTCCCTGGTGTGCTAGCACAGCTGTATTCGGATGCTCCCTTTGTTTGGATAGAGGTACAAGGTACTGTGATAGAGCAGGGACATAATGCACATGATGTTGGAGGATGCTTTAAGGAAAAAGGACCTGCACTAGAGTTTGGTGATTGACTGCACTGGTGTTTACTCTAGCTGGTCCATTTATTTTCTTGCTTTTGGTTTTACACTTTTTTAACTTCTTATGAATGTATTTTCTTTTTTATTTTGGCTTTTCTTTTGGGGTTGGCCACTCCTCTGCACTTGTACTTTCTTTATATATATATATATATATATATATATATATATATATATATATATATATATATATAGAGAGAGAGAGAGAGAGAGAGAGAGAGAGGATGAAGGGGTTTAGAGAGAGGGGCTACGCCGTCAATTCTAGGCGATTCTCTAACCCTAGATGGAATCGTCTCAAGGATTTTGTTCGTAGAGATGGGTTTACCGATTACCAAGAGTGGGAAAGAATTAGGGATCGACCAGAACCCTGGCATGGGAAGAGAATCCAAAGATTGAACGACTCTCCCAAAATCTCAGGGCAAGCGAGTGAAAGTCATAATCAGGTTCATTCCTTCCGCATACAATCCAAGGTTTATAATCTTTTTCACTCCTACTATAACCAGAACTTCTGTCTTACGGAAGTTGGGAGGAGGAATTATGACATTTGGTTTGATGTTCAAGGGTTGAAATGGATTCTTGAGCTATTCCCCAGATTAAACCAAAGAAACCATTGGGCTTTCACTCGATTTGAAACGCATCGAAAACTTTCGATTTCTTATGGGTCTAATAGGTGGGGAAATTTTATCAGAGTTCTTGAGTCTAGGCTAGAAGGGAACACCTCTATTTTTGTACCAGTTGATAGAGGAGGTTCGGACTGCTTCTTTAATGCTGTTGATGTCTTCATTGGTAAGACAAAGAACCCCAATATCGTAGAAAACCTCCCTGATGCTCAGAAGTTGACAGTGGTACATGAGGTTCATGCACCTGGCTGCTCTAACAGACATGGAAGCTCTGGTGGTTTTACACTTGGGGGGCCTGCAAAAGATGGATTTGTGGCTAACCAGACTCCAGTTGGGACTCATCCTCTAAAGGATTCACGTGAAGAGTTCTCTCCCAAAGATAAAGCTCCTGCTGTTATATTGGGAGGAGGGAATGAAAACTCAACGGATTCACAACCCACACTGGAGATTGGAAAAGTAGATGATGGGAAAATGACAGAAGCTCTGCAGCATGAAGACTCGGGTGCAAGAAACCATCTTCAGCCTGGCACGACTAGTGAGTTGGAACCAGAAGATGAGTCTATTAAGCCATGTCTCCTAAACCATGAAGAGCAACTGATCATCGACGGTCTGTTTAAGCGAGCTCCGGAAATGCTAGTTTCAAGTTTGGATATTCCAATTCAAACTGAGCTTAAGCTAATGATGATCGATGCAAATGTGGAGGTTAGTCGTTCTCCTCTAGAGGTTTTTCTCAATGAGATTCTTAAGCCGATTTTTGAGCAACATATTAGTGATGACTTTGAGCAATCTCTTTGGATAATTAAGGAAGCGTTGCGCTCGCCTTTCGTCATAGAAAAGATTCAGAAGGGTCTGGTGAAAACACTCCAGGGTAAGGCAATAAAAGCTACAAGGGACGCTATGAAGAGCGCACAATGCATCAGGGCAATCAAGTTGAAAGGTACGCGACATCCAGTCCTCCTGTCCTGTGCCAACATTGATGAACCTATCATTACATCCTTGTGTGAACATCTCATCGATTATGAATGATAGTGAGGACTACTACGGATTCTTTAACTACGGTTTGTTGCTTGTTGATGATGGATTACTTGAGACAATATATTCTTCTATATTCTATGGTTTCTTCTTCTTAACTGTAGAAAGGATTTGAAAGGGCATCAAGGTCTTTAGTCGTTAAGGGTTTCCTTGTTTTAGGGAACTTCTTTATGATTATAATAGGTTTTTGGGGCTGCAACTCTCTAATAGCTACTGGAGACTGATTTTGATGAGCAGATTCATGGAGGATATTGCTATGCTTGGAAGTACTACAGACAGTCTGTAACATCTCAGGAAATCAACAACTGATAAACAACATGACTGAATGAATGGGTCAATGGGGACATCTATTGGATTCAAGGAAATTTGCAGATCTGCCAAGGACATGAGCTTGATTCATTATAGGGGCCTGCTTTGGGCGAGAATCGGGCTTTGAGGTTGGAGGTTAGGCTGTAATTTGAGCTTCCCTTGAACATGGAGACTAGCTTGCAGGAAAAGGGTAGCTCTTACATTTCAGGAAATGATGCTTGACAACTTTGCAACCTCTCTCGCTGGATAGCTATTGAATTTTAGTGTTTGGCCTCTTTGTTTTGGCTTTGTGATACTCTATTATGATATTTGTGTTTCTTTTCGTTTGGTCCTTTGTTGGGGTTGGGCCACCCCTCTGCTTTCTTGTACTTCTTTCTTTTTAATAAAAAAAAATTTAGTATTATATATATATATATATATATATATATCATGTATAAAAAAAATGTCTAGTGAGAGAGAGACTCCGCCGGCAGTGACTGCCGGAATTAGTGGCCGGAAGAAACTTTTTTCAGAAGTTCTCAATACATTCAAAGAAGAAGAAAAATTACAAGGTGTTAATCAAGGTTTTTACAAAGGGGTGCCATCAGTGTCTTTCTCTTTTGATGACATTCAACTACTTTCTAGGAGATTCAAGAATGCTCTCATTGGCACATTCAGCCGTAGACCTCCATATCCAGTGATGAAGAACTTCCTGCAGAAACTTGGACTTCAAGGAGAGTTCACAGTTGGAAAACTTTCTTCCAATCAGGTACTCATTAACTTCCAACTTGAAGATGATTATCAGCGTATCTTCCTTAGACAAACCTGGCAAGTTGGGGGTCAAACAATGGTTGTTACCAAATGGACTCATGAACACAAGGAAGGGGTGGATTGTCCCATTGTCCCTGTTTGGGTTTCCTGTCCTAACCTCCCTATTTTTCTACATGATCAAAGAGCTCTCTTCAACATTGCTTCCTCTCTGGGTAGGCCTCTCAAAGTGGATGAGAGTACATTAAACTTCACAAGACCAGATTTGGCTAGGATCTGTGTAGAGGTGAATGTCTCTAATCCATTACCTGCCAAGATGCACATCAGATTAGGTGATAAAGATTCATTTACCCCTCTCATTTATGAAAATGTCCCATATTACTGCCATTCATGCTTGAAGCTTGGTCATATGAAGAACAACTGCAAAAGGATGAAGGATCCAACACAGAACTCTCATGTTCACAAACCGGCTCATTCTAAACCGGTTCAAACAGATTCCTCAACAGATAAGGGCAAAGAGCCCAGCCAGGATAATTGGACAATGGTCACCTCCAAAAAATGTGGGTTAGGTCCAGTGTGGAGAAAGAAAAGCTCTGGGGATAGTTCTATTCAGAACATACCCAAACAACTACAGGACAATCCCTCCACTACTGCTTCCCCTGGCCCCATTAATAATGCTGAGGTAATTATTCATAATCCTATCTCTCCCAATTATCCAGAGATTAATAATTTGGCTCTGGTTCTTTGGAAACCCCTCCCTGCTATTGAAGAGTCTAGCTTCTCTCCTCTTCTTCAATGTGATTCTGATAGTGATGAGTCAGATTGTGAAGATCTTGGAATTATGCTAGACTATGAACCTCTCCTTGTGATTGATAAAGAGAATAACCAAAAGGAAGAAATTAGGGACAGGGAGACAATTAACAACACCAATATTAAATCAAGATTGAGGTCAGCTAATAAGAGTTCCTCAGTAGCCTTTTCCCAATGAAAGCCCTCTTCTGGAACATCTGTGGGATTAAGTCATCCCTCAACAGACTTCTTCCTCTTAGCAAGACTCACAAAATTTCTTTCCTGGCTATTTTTGAACCTATTGTAGCAGCTAAAAGATTGGACTACTATAAAATCAAACTTGGTTTCTCTCATGGTTTTTCCACTCAATTCAATAAGTGCTGGATCTTCTGGGACTGCAACACTCTCAATCTCCAACAAGTCCAAGAAGGAGATCAAATAACTACATGCCTCTTTAATACTTCTGGTCATCCCTTGTTTATCAGCTCTGTGTATGGCAAACATTGTAGAGCAGATAGGCTTCTCCTCTGGGACTCTCTGGTGGATCATGACCCAGGGGATCAACCTTGGATTGTAGGAGGGGATTTTAACACAGTCACCTCCCTTACTGAACACCAAGGACATGTGGCTCCCTGTCTTCATAGTATTGAAGACTTTAGGGAGTGTATTCAGAACTGCTGCTTATTGGAGCCCTGTCTTAAGGGCAATATCTTTACTTGGATGGGTAATAGGTCCAAGGGGAGAGTTCTACGCAGACTTGATAGAGTATTGATTAATCAAAGCACCCTGGATCAATACTCTGATATTTATCTCTATCATCTGGGCAGAACCTCCTCTGATCACAAGCCACTTCTTCTGGACTGCATAAACTACCACTTTTCTGGACCTAGACCCTTCAGATACATTAATGCTTGGGCTCTTAATGAGAGCTTTTATGATTTGGTCAGGAAAGCTTGGAGCTCTTATAGCAATGGTAGGGGCATGAGAGGGCTAGCAATTAAACTCAAAAATTTGAAAAAAAGTATTAAGGATTGGAATCATGCTCATTTTGGAAACATCTTCATCAAAGTCCAAGAAGCAGAAAAGGCAGCTTTGCAAGCTCAAGAAAATTTTGAAGGTGAGGATTCTGAAGTGAATAGAGAGGCATGTAATTTGGCCAATGCCAAGCTACTGAGAACTTGCAAAATTGAAGAGGCTTACTGGTCACAAAAAGCCAATGTTAAGTGGATTGCTAATGGAGATGCATCAACTAAGTTCTTTCACTCATATGTCAAAGGCAAAAGAAGAAAGGCTAGCATCAGACTTCTAAAAAATCAAGAAGGCAGAGAGATGGTGGATCATAATGAAATCTCCAGTTTTATTGTCAATCACTTTAAGAGTTCTTACACTCAAGAATTTATGGGTAATCTTGAACCCATCCTATGTCATATTCCAACTCTTATCACAGATCAGGACAATCAAAATATGATCAAACTGCCACAGGCAGAAGAAATTAAGGCTGCTATTTGGCACCTAAATCCTAATAGCTCTGCCGGGCCAGATGGGTATAATGGAGAATTCTTTAGGTATTTTTGGGACATTATTAAACCTGACATTATCAGTGCTGTTCAGGAATTCTTCCTAGGCCATCCTATCCCTATGGCCTTTGGAAGTACCTATATCATCCTCATTCCTAAACTTGAAGGGGCTAAGGTTATTGGAGATTATAGACCTATTGCCCTGTCTACTTTCTTCAGCAAGATTATCTCTAGGATCTTGTCTAACAGACTTTCCCCTCTTCTGGACAAGATCATATCACCTGAACAGGCAGGTTTCCAAAAAGGGAAGGGTATTGAGGAACATATCTTATTAACCAATGAGCTAATGCACAGGCTGGAATCAAAAGTCAGGGGTGGTAATGTGATGGTTAAACTTGACATGGCCAAAGCTTTTGACAAGATTTCTTGGTCATATTTAAAAGAAGTGCTCAAATCCTTTGGATTTAATGATCACTGCATAGCACTTCTTCTGCAAAATCTAGAGGCCACTCACATTTCATTGCTCATCAATGGAAGCCCCCACGGATTTTTCAAAATCAAGAGGGGAGTCAAACAGGGAGATCCTCTTTCTCCTCTCCTCTTTATCATTGGGTCTGAGGGATTCTCTAGGAGCCTGAACTATGCTATCTCTTCTGGTTTTATAGTACCATTCAAGGCAGGGAAAAGTCAGGTGGTTTCTCATCTTGCATTTGCAGATGACCTCTTAGTATTTCTTAAGGGCGACCTAAGAAATATGCTGAGATTTAATCACATCCTACATAACTACCTTAGAGCTTCTGGACAAGAAATCAACAGCAAGAAAAGTAAGGTTTTCTGCAAGAAAAATAGCCACTGGACATACAAGAAGAAACTGGAGGAAGCTCTTGGATTTATGGTAGGAAGCCCACCTTTCAAGTATTTGGGAACAACTATTACAACAGGTAAACTTAAGAGAATCCACTGTGATCAAATCCTCAATCACTTTGATGCTTATCTTAATAGTTGGTACAATAAGGAGCTTAATCCCATGAGCAGATTAATTCTCATTAAACATGTGCTTAGTGCTATTCCTTTACACACACTAGCTGTGCAAGACCTTCCCAGTCATCACAGTTATCTAGGGAAAACTAGCAAACCTCTTTTGGGGCTCTAATAATGGGAAGAACAAATATCACTGGGCAAAATGGACTGCACTTTGCAAACCTACAGGCGAGGGAGGACTGGGTTTGAGAAGCCTTGAAGATACTCAAAAGGCTTCCGCTTTGAAGCTTTGGTGGAAGGTGATTAATGGTGATTCAATCTGGTCAAAATTTATGAAAGATAAATACTACAGGGATGGCCTGTTTGAGGCCAAATTGTATGACTCTTCCTCATGGAAAAGAATCTGCAGAATTTCTCCATTTGGGCTGCAAAACACATCCATGATCAATTCAAATCTCACATGGAGCAATGGAAACTTTTCCTTTAAGGAGGCTTACTGGGCAGTAACGGATAGAGATATTAGCACTCAGATGAACACCCTCACCTGGAACAAATTCCAGATTCCTAAGATCAAGCTTTTCACCTGGAAAGCTATAAATCACTATCTCCCTTTTCCAAACATCCTTAAGAAACTCTCTTACAACATGCCTAGAAAATGTCCCTTCTGTGCTAGGGAAGAAGCTACGGATCAACACATCCTCCTCACTTGTAGTGTTTCCCAAAGAATTTGGAAGGCCTTCGCAGACTATGCAGGGGGGCCTACTTGGAATCAAGGTACAGACCTTAACACTTATATGCTACAATGGTGGGTGAATCATAACAAAGCAACAATACAAGGTCTCCTTAAGCTCATACTACCAGGTTGCATAATTTGGAATCTTTGGAAGGCCTATAATCGTTGTATTCATGATGATACCAGCATAACTAATGTGGGTATTATTATAGACATACAAAAATTAGTACAACACTGGTACTGGTCGAACAAAAAGGTGCAAAAGATTGCCACAAGCGCAGATATTCAAGCACTTAATCTTAAACCTTGCCTGAGCAAGATTTGGCCTTGATTGAGCAGCGCTGAATTCGCGGCAAGGATGAAGAAAGAGCTTAGCCGGTTCTTTGGCAATGTTTCACTTTTTGGGCCTTTCTCTTTTTTCTTTTCCTTGGGCTTTTGTTGTCGAGTTGGCCTAACCGATCTTTGTACATTCCTCTCTTTAATCTACTTGGTAAGGGTTCCCCGAACCTTACCCCACTGTATAAGTGGTTTCCTTTTCGGGACATATATATATATATATATATATATATATATATATATATATATATATATATATATATATATATATATATATATATATATAGGGATTGACTCCAGTAAGATGACACCTTACGCTGATATGACATTTACGGTCAGATGACACAAAGCTCACCAAACTGTAAGACAAAGCTCACCATATTTTTCCAACGTTTTGATTTTTTTTGGAAAAAGTAAAATCAAAGGAAGGGGTGCTGTCTAGATTTTGACCGTTGACCACAACCGCCACTGCTGCTGGTCGTCGCCGTGCCACTGGTTGCCGCCTGCTATCGCCGACGACCGGTGGTTGACTGGTGTTGCTATTTTATTTTTAATTAATTTTTTACTGGTGAGCTGGTGTTGCTAATTTATTTTTAAAAAGTTGAGTTTTGGTGTTCAAAGTGTTGAGCTTTGCTTTATTTCCACGTGAGCTTTTCATACTCCATTGGTGAGCTTTGTAGTGTAGTGTGGTGATCTTAGCATCATATCACCGAAGCATGTCATTTCAACATAAAGTATCATCTGACTGGAGTCAATCCCATATATATATATATATATATATATATATATACTACCTCCGTCCCACTGTCTTTGTCCACTTTTGACTTTTGGAACTGTTCATCTAAGCACTTTGACTCATCAAATTCTCTCAATGTGTAAGCCAAAAAATAGTCATGTGTGATCTTGTTTGATTCGTCTTAACATATAGATTATTAATATATAATTTTTATAATTTTTTAATATACAAATTACAAGATAAAATGGATTAAAGAAGTGCATTGGATGGTGTGCCAAAAGGTAAGTGGACAAAGACAGTGGGATGGAGGGAGTATATATATATATATATATATATATATATATATATATATATATATATATATATATAACACCTTACGGTGAGATGACATGCTACGGTCAGATGACGCAAAGCTCACCACTGGCCAATGCAAAGCTCACCAAAGACAACTACAAAGCTCACGAAACTCTAAGGCAAAGCTCACCATATTTTTTCAACACTTTGAATTTTTTTGAAAAAAAAATCAAAAGAAGTGGTGTTGACTTTTTGACAATTGACCGTTGACCATAATTAAAGGAAAAGCTGACTGGACTTTGACCACCACCGCTCGCCGCCCGCCGCCGCCGGCCTCTGCCGCCGGCCGCTCGCCTCCGCCGGCCTCCGCCGCCCGCCGCCGCCGGCCTCCGCCGCCCTCCGCCGCCCGCCGCCGCCGGCCTCCGCCGGCCGCCGCCGCCGCCGCCGACAACCGCCGCCGGTCGCCGGCGACCACCTCCGCCGCCGCCGGTATCTGCCGCGCCGCCGCCACTGACCGGTGGTTGACCGTTGTTGCTATTTTATTTTTTATTAATTTTTTAATTTTCAAAATAAAAAAAAAGTGAGTTTTGGTGTTCAAAGTGGTGAGTTTTGCCTTATTTCCAAGTGAGCTTTACATTGGCCATTAGTGAGCTTTGCAGTGTAATGTGGTGAGCTTTTTTATTTTTTGGAAAAAAATTCAAAGTGTTGAAAAAAATTTGGTGAGCTTTGCCTTACAGTTTGGTGAGCTTTACATTGGCCATTGGTGAGCTTTGCAGTGACCAGTGGTGAGCTTTGTGTCATCTGACCGAAGCATGTCATCTCACCGTAAGGTGTCATCTCACTGGAGTCAATCACACACACACACACACACACACACATATATATATATATATATATATATATATATATTTAAGGCCTTTCATTCATGATAAAGTGTACAGTTACATAGGTATTTGATTGCTGCTAGGGCACCTAAATACAACAGGTATTACCTCCATCATGAGGCAAAACCGCGTGAGAAGCCCATCCAAAACAGTTGGTATTACCTCAATAAATGAGGCAAAACCAGGGGCATCAGAAGCTAACCAATTAGACCATCATGCCCAAGAGATTCAGCTCCATTGTCAAACCAACTTCATTCCAGCGCACCACTGTCCAAATATGTTAGGCCAGCAGCTCTGCTAAGTGATTCACATACAGCCAACCCACTTGTAATCATCTCTCACAAAACAGCTCCACAGCTGAGGCAAAACCATGGGCATCGGCAGCCCTTGAAGAGTGCAAACTGGATCAGCCCCCCACCAATGAATCTCTAATTCCCTTGAAGAAGTTCAAGGGCAGTAGGTCCAGCCCACACGATCTACATATGAAGAAAAACCCAGGGGCAGCGGGAGGAAAAGAACAGCTGCAAACTCAGCTCCAATTCTCTGCCCATATGCTGCCCAGAATGTGCCCACTCACCCCAAAACAGCTCCATCAATTCAAACAAAAAGGGTTGACCATCAATAATAATGTCCATGAGGTAACCAAGGTAAGGTTATACCCAGCAGCTACTGCACAAATGCACCCACAGTCCCTCAAATCAGCAGCCCAACATTTCCAATAGTCCCTCAAAATCTAGCATCTCAAATTGGTTATAACAGCCTCAAAACAGTGCCAAAATACCACCATGTAATTACATAAGCAGCCCAAACAATGGAGTGTGTAAAAAGCAGCAAAAACCCAGGTTTTGAACTCCATTTACAGGGGCAGTAGACAGGACCTGAAGCACACAAACAAGAAGTGCAAAAATCAGCAGCAAATTCCAAAATCCAGCCCATATTTGCAGCAGTTGTTTTCCAAGGATATTAAGCAAAATTCATACAATATCTCTAAGCCATTATCATCATGGCTAATGGGATGCTGGTTCGTGATAAAGCATCAACAAAATACCAGCACAAAACAGCACCCAGCGCAAGGCATAAATTCTAGACAATTAATTCATGAGTGCATCAACAATATGTCAAACAAAATTCATGAATCCACAAAAGGTTGGCCAAAAAAAGAGCAAAATCCTAGGTAATCGTGCTCCACAGACGCGCTGTGAACAGTAACTTCGAATGCCATAATGCCTTAGATCGAAAGAAAATTCAAAAGATGTTGAAATCCACCTTCATAACATGGAAGGAGATTACAAACCAGTCGGAATCTCAGAAGGATATATATATATTGAGCTTTCTGCTGGTTCAGATAGAAGAGGTGAATTCATAAAAATTCAAGAAAAAAGAAGGGAAGGGAAAAGACACATCCTAATCCCATCTGGACCTAAGAACGCAGATGTAGGTTTGTTTTTCAAGGCTTTATCTTTTTTCTATGACAAGGTCACCAAGACTGTACAATCTCAGGCCCTGGATACTGTCCCGATTCTCACCACAGTCCCTCAAGCTCCTATACAACCCCAGAATCCGGCACTAGCAACAAACACTCAGCACCTTGAGGGAAGAACTGCACATATTGGGGAGAATGAGGATGATATGATGGTCGAAGAGGATAAGAGTCTAATTGTAGCAACCACTTCCCCTACAAGTGAATATCGTCATGCGGCCTTTCATGGAGGACCTATCCCAACCCCAAGCCATGTCATCTTCCCCACTCTGTCTCCTTTTGCTCCACCCTTCGTACCTGTGCTGACAAACAGCTTTGCCACACTTTTCTCTCACAATGTAGTTGAGAACAAAAGATGTGAAGATCAAGACCCATCATCAAAGACTCATGATAAGAACCGGGTACTCCTTTTGAATGCAGTGGAGGACATTATAGAGGATAGGGACGGGCCTATACTCTATACCCACTCAGACGGAGAAGATATAGTTTTCATTGACACCAAGCTTAAGCCTCTACAAATAGACTTTTCTAGATGTTTTAGACAACCTTTAAACCTGCGCAAGGAGCTTAAGGGCAGGAGAACTTTCTCCCCTTCACAAATAGTTACTAGGAGCAGAGCTAAAATTCTTGAAGAAGGTAGGAAATTAACTCCTGTTGGATGGGTGGAGGAACAGGATTTGAATGAAACCCAGGAATCTTATGAAGAGGAAGCTATCAATTTCTTTAAGTTGTGCTGCCCAAACAAAAAAGAGGTGTGTACTAAGAAATCCAACAAAACTTTGACTAAAAGTCAAAAAAGAAGGCCAAGAAAAGACTGAAGAAGAGTTTGGCAGCAGAACATGAAGATGATGAGGATGATTTTGATGCCTAGACTTTGCTAATTTCAGGGATGGGTTCAGTACTCATTGGGTTTTGCTGCCTTTCTATTGGGGATCTCCTATATCAACTTCGGTTTGGCTTAGGGACACTTTATTTCTTTATTTGATGGGTTGGTTCGGTCGGGAGTAAATGCAATTGGGTGCGGCTATGTCCTCTCAACTAGCTGGAAGACTAGGAAAAAAAATAGTTTTGAGAATCAATGGGGGTTTGTTTGATTTGGAGTTGCCAACATTGACGTACCGATCATAATGCCATTATGTGAACATCTCATCGACTATGAATAAAAGGGAGGTATTCTTTGGCTTCTTAACCTCTTGTTATTTTTCATGGGGAACTAGACGCTTCTCTTGGGATGTACAATATCTTTTCTTAGAAGGAGGAACTGGTGCAATGAGCTTACTTACCAAAGACAGTTGTGATTTCAGTTTTCTTATTTTCCTGTTATTTTTGGCCTTACATATGGTTGGTGTCAAGCCTGGGAAATTACTTATAATCAATTCAGGTGCAGATTCCAGGTTGCTCTCTTGGTTGAGGATACTCATCCTTCTAGGAAGCATGGGATATTACTTATAATCAATAGTGACAATTTGGAGAACGGAAGAACGAGGAAGATGATGAATAGTGAAGGTTTCGGGAACATCGGCAAGAAGGAGGATAATTCGGATGTTGATTCTAGCGCCAACTATCCTTTAATGCGGAGGGGATTTGTCGATCTGAAATTGTAGCTGGTCGTGGCGGGGCTGAGCCGCCCAGTGGCATCAATACTCTAGTGCGGAGGTGCCTAAGGCCACTATGAGAAAGGCTGAAGACCTAGGCTCGAGCACCAACAACAATGGCAAGAGCTTTGAAAATAGGAGAGGCGGCGATAATCATTCTCCTATAATGCATTCTCTCATCACAACAATCTAATATGATGCATTCTAGTAGTCAATATAATGCTTCCTGTCAATATTCTATGTGGAGTATTGTTGTTCTACAATATTTCAACCTTGGATGATATTCATGTGATGTCAGTGTCATATTTCTAGGTTTCCATTTTTTAGGAAAAAGATATATTGTTTAGCTAATTTGATATAGAAGAATTCATTTTTTATGACATGATGTTTTGTACTTTTTCCTTGGATTTGCTTTGTGTTTTAGATCATTGAAGGTTGCTGTAATTCCCTTTGGGGTTGTAGAATTCATTGGAACATATTACAATTTTCAGGCGTAATGCTATCGGGGTGCCCACCAGGTGTTTGATGTAATTCTAAAGAGAAATTCATGAACGGAAATCGAGCTTTTTTGGGACACCTACTGCATTGTCAAACTCAGTGCAATCGTAGTTTGATATTGTGTTATTTGTTTGTTCAAATTAGTAAAATTAGTGTATTTAAGTTTTTTGTAGTCATGAATGTTATGGTTTTTTAACATTTAATCTCTTAATGTAGTTGGTTTATACTTCGTTGCATTTGAAAAAAAACCATAGATTTTTCGTTATTTGCTCAAAAAAATTTTTTTCTTTCATTCGAGGTCATTTTCATATGTAACTATGGTTGAAATGATATGTGTCATTAGATACGGAGTACATAGTAATGCATTCTGTGTTCTTGGTACTGCACACAACCACCAACTAGGATGATGTTCATAACTTTGTGGTCACATTAGGCTTAAGATTGTTAATTGTCATTATGTGTTTGTGGGTTGACTCTCTCCACACTCTTCATTATTGTATTTTTTTTCTTTTGGATTCTGAGAATAAGATGCCGCGATTCATTATGTTTGTAGTTTGTAATTTCAATGATTACAAGTTACAAGTTTTATTTCGTACTTGCCCTCACGTTTTTCACAATTCGCCATGGCTGTAATAATATGTATAATCTAATGCATTGTAAAATATGAAAGATGCATAATTTAATATGTGGAGTAAGTGTATGCACGAGATTGAAGAGTGAAACTTCTAAAATTTTTGTCATGTTTTGCTTGAATCAACCAAATTCTAAAATGGGATTATTTGTTTTTTACTTTCATAATTGTATATCGTTTACTGTTTTTTGTTGGAGTTTCGGGTTTTTAACTAGAAGAGAATTGTTTTAATTTCTTGTTTAGTTTAGTATTCAAGGTGACCTAGATGCTTCTCAACTTTACGTGGTGCATTACTATTGTTGTGTAATGCATAGTGGATTTGTTATGGTGCATTTACTTGGTAGCTAAAGTTCACAAGTTTGTTCTTCACTTTAAATGCAATGCGTGGGAGGAGAAACTATACATTTTTTGTCTCTATATTTATTAGGTTTTGTTCTAATGAATGTTTTCTTTGTACCAAAAAACTCTTTTTGTAGGGCTCTTGTTCATCTCTTACGCGTATTACTGATAAAATTAGAATCCAAACTTGAATGGAATAAAATTTTTGAGAATTCTAGTTTTACAGTCTAAATTTTTTCTGAATTGAAAATTGATAATTTATGGTGTTGTATCTTATTCAATTCAATCTTTTTGACATTAATTTATGTGTCACAGGTACGACATGGCCATCGTTTTTTGATGAATTTAGTTTGCATTTGTGTACATTCTGGGTAAACATTATGGGATTTAATTAGTGTAACACTAAGGACTTATGGTTCATGCTTAAAATGCATGATATACACCCTTGATATGCATTACAGAGAATATAAGATGCATTTTAAAATATTTAAAATGCATGATATACACCCTTGATATGCATTACAGAGAATATAAGATGCATTTTTACTTTAGATAATGAATCCTGTTATGGTGCACTTTAAGAATCAAAATTAATGGAATAAAATTTGAATAAAATTAAAGGACAAATCAAAGTGCATATATCGAACATCAAATTTCATTCGCGTTAAATTATGGATTAAATATATTCAATATTGGTGTCATTGGGTAGATCTCAACGAGAAATTTCCAACGGCATATTATTTGTCAAAAACGGACTTAAAATATAATGCACAATACAATATTAAATGATAGGAAATCAACAATATTATATAATACACCCCCCTTGAGCAGTTTGAGAAGACCTGTCTAAAAGCCACACCCAAAGGGTAAGGTAGCAAAACAGAGCATAGAGAAGAGACTAAAAACCCAAGGCAACAAGAGATAGACCCAGCATATCCAACCCTTCAAGTAGTGATTTATAGTTCCCCTGAGGAAATCCAAGGGTAAGGCAGGAAATCTGTTCAAGCAGTAGACAAAAAACCCGAAATAGCAACAGGAGACCAAGAATCAAAATAGCAAGCCATCGAACAGACCTAAAATTATTATAAGTGCAAGCCAAAGAAACAGAAACCACCATAAAGCATTAAACAGAACTAAATGCAGCGAGAACCTAACAGAAGAAGCATGGCCCGATGGTCTTGCATTCTGTTCCTTCAGCTTGTAAAGATCCACATAAATTAAAGCTTCAAATCTCAAGAAACTGCTGCAGTGAACAAGAGCATGGAAAAAAGGAAACTACAGCATTGAACGAAAACCCGCAATGAACAGGAAACAAAGAGCGTGTAATCTGAAGGAGCTGAGTGAAGGCCAGGCAATAGCTCCAAACATTGAGAAAACAGACACATTCCTCCAGTCAGCAAAATGGCCTCCTCTATTAGACTATCATCATTCAGCATCTACAAACATATATATATATATATATATATAGACTTTGGTTCAAATAAGAATGAAATCTAATGAAAGAAATAAGAATAAATTCTAACCATTAGATCTAAAGAGATTGAAACCATCTCCCCAAGGTCATATTTGGGTTTTCAAAGTAACCCCTTCCTCTCTCCATCATCTATTCTCATCGTCTCCAAAATTTTAGCGCACGATTCGCTCCATCACTCATCATCTTCTGTTATTTTTTCAGCCATACAATCTCAAAAGGGAATGGAAGCTGGAGGTTCTGTCATTAGGCGCGGAAGCTTGAACCTATTCTCGAGGTACTGTTCAGAGTCTTTTCTAACCCTCTGCCTCCTTGATTTTCTGGAGTTTTGGTGCAATTCTTAGAGCATTTGGATCGTTTTCAGCAAATGATTCCAATTTTATGTTCAATTTTGCTGATCTGAGGCTGGATCTAGCAGAATCAATTTAATTGAGGTTAATTCTTCTTTTTGAACAATTTACATCTATTTATTTTTGCGAATTTTTACTTAATTTGATTTTGATTCTTGATTTAATTCTTTTCATATTGTTTTCAAAACTTTGATTTTTCTCCTGCATTAACATATTAGTTGACTATAGCAGGTAGTTCTTCAACCTTTTTATTATGTTGTTTAATTATTTTCTGGTGTGGTTTACTTTATTCATGAGATGTCATTTTATTAGTCCAATAATGCACTTCATATTTACGATACTGCACACATATACAAACTCTATATTCACTTTGGGTTAACTCCGTCCACAATTCACTTTTTACTCTTTTATTTTTACTTTTATTGAAAAATTCTGTTAAATGAATGTCTCAATGCATTTCAGACATTATGATTGAATTTGGGGATTTTTTTGTCTTGGTCATGTTTTTGTTAACTCTCATGATTTTGCTCATATTCTTTGATTTTATTCCGTGGTTCTTTATCATTTGATTTAATTTTTTCATTATTTTTTGGTCTGGACAGTTTATTCATGAGATATAGAGTATCATTTTTATATCCATGCAATGCATTTTGTGGTGTTCATACGGCACATATCTTCCAAATGTTTTCTTCATGTGATGTCATTATTGTTATACCAAGGGAGGTTTCCTTATTAGAAGTGGAGAATTAAGAATACCATGTGAAGAAGCCTCGTTGAGTCTAGTGGATAAATTCTAAATGCTTCCAATGATGTTTGTTGCATGGAACTTCTTTTTCAAACAAACACTAATTTAGATTATACTAGTACTCAATAACCTATATTTGTTGCAGGTTTGCAATTGAAAACTCACTATGGAAGTGCATAAGTATTGTGGTACACTATATATTTGGTTTATTTAAATAGACATAATAGGATACCCTTTTTTAGATCCATTCAACTAATTTGATGGAGTCATGTACATTTTTTATACGTCCACATCAAGTTTCTATGCATTGAATTGTTCTTTAACTTATTGTTCTAATTTTAAGGGCCAATCAGTCAGTTACATCAATTCTTTTTTGTATAGGTTTTTTCTAGGAAATATCATTTTTATTTCCTTTTAATGCACTTTTGGTTGTTGTTAACGCACCCAACTACCATCTCCGTATTTTCATTGACTCTCTTCGTTAGCATGAATGCATATATAATGTCTTAGTGCATATTAACATAATCTTACAGCATTATATTTTATTCTGTCCAAAATTGTGTTTTAATTAAATTCAAAGTAAATGTATTTTGTATATTAAGTTTGATATTGCTCAATTTTTGCATTGCATCTAGCAGAACTTTAATCGATATTGTGATCCCATACTAAGATTTTTGATGCAATGTGATGCAAACTCTAACACACTCTGATCTGATTGTACTGTGAATATAAAATCTGCATGAGTTTCTGTTATTGTGCATTATCACTATCTACATAATGCATTTACGTGAGAAAGAAATGCATTCTAATAATAAAGGATAATGCATTCTCAGAATCTCGTAGTGAAATTCATCTATCTTGCAAAATTATCCACAACTAAATATGATGCATCAATATATTATATAAGAGATGCATTTAAAAAGTTTTGTAACACATTTAAACATGGGTGCAAAACAAGTTGAACGATTTCAATTCAAAAAGCTTAAAATGCATATTTAATAGACTAAAGTGCAAGACAAGAATCTCTTTGAAAATATTAAACAGTTGCCTATTAGCTCAAATGGTAGAGTGGTATGTACTACAGATGTGGGTTCGAATCTTGCATAGGCAAAATATTTTTCAAATTTGTATTATACTTGTTTAAAATAAAAATTATTTTCATCAAATACAAATTACTCAAAAGCCATTATTCACTAATCCACAAACTATTAGAATAAATTTTCAAAAAAAACCTTAAAATGCAAATTGTAGTACATATATTTACAATCACAGTACATTCATAAATCTTGTTTTCTTTACTTTGAAATGTGAGAAGATAATATCAAAATTTTGTATTCAATATTGGTGTCCTTAGATAGATTTCAACGAGATATTTCCAACGACATATAATTTGTCAAGGTTGTATTTCTCTACAAAAAGTAATGTACAAAATAGACAATGCAATAGAAAAACATACTAAAATGAAATTAATATTACCTCCGTCCCAGAGTATTTGTCTACTTTCATTTTTACACACTATCCAATTCACTTCTTTAATCCATTTTATCTTATAATTTGTATATTAAAAAATTATAGAAATTATATATTAATAATCTAAATGTTAAGACAAATCGAACAAGATCACACATGACTATATTTAGGCTTACACATTGAGAGAATTTGATGAGTCAAAGTGCTTAGATGAACAGTTCTAAAAGTGAAAAGTGGACAAACATTGTGGGACGGAGGGAGTATTATAATATAATATATACACGAGAAGGGAGGATTGCGGCTCATTATATATATATATATATATATATATATATATATATATATATATATATATATATATATATATATATATATATTCAACCCTTTACTCCAATTGGTTGATGATGCACAGGAGGAAGATCATGATCTTAACCCCCTTTATTGTCACTCCGATGGTCATGCAGAGGATAGGCCTTTTGATACCTCGGAGATTAGGCCTTTCGCCTTTGACGCCTCTCATTGCAGCTCCAGTTCTCTGCCTTTCCAGAAATTCAAACGGTCTTCTATGCCCCGTCAAACTCACAATATGGAGACTCGTAGCAAATCCGGTAAGAAAGTCTCTTGGAAGGTTTCCCAATGAAGATTATTTTTTGGAACGTCTGCGGGGTGTCCTCTTCCCTTGACAGACTCCATTCCCTTAAGAGGATTCACAACCCCTCCTTTCTTTGCATTATTGAACCAAAGGTTTTTGCCTCATAACTCCCAGATTACAGCCTCAAGTTGGGATTTCCCAACCATTTGTCTTCTAACAACAATAAAAGATGGATGTTTTGGGACCCCAACCAACTGCTTTTCATCAGTGCCGAGGATGAAGATCAGGTTACACATTGCCTCTTCTCCCTTCCTATTTCCCCTTCCTCCACCATTCTTATCTCCAGTATCTATGGCTCTCATACGGTGGTGGGACGCCGGCTTTTATGGGGAAATCTTCAACACAAAAGCAGCCATTCGTCGTGTTGGGTGGTCGGGGGGGACTTTAATGTGATTTCCTCCCTTAAGGAATGCAAAGGTCAGCTTTGCCCTAACACTCAAGGCATGGACGAATTCAATTCCTGCATTGAATCCTGCAATCTTTTATGCCCGGACCCCTCCGGAGGTCTATTTACTTGGAGTGGCACTAGAAGCTCTGGGAAACTATGGCGTAGGCTTGATAGAATTCTGGTTAACCTTACCTTCCAATCCACCTTCAGCGAGTTTGAAGTTCAGCATCTCCCCAGAGCCTGCAGTGACCACAAAGCCCTCCTTCTTTCCTATTCGGTCAGCAGTGTTAAAGGCCCATCAGCATTCAGATTTCTTAACCCATGGATTCACCACACAAATTTCCTTTCGGTTGTCAAGGAATGCTGGAACAAATGCCCTACTGTTGGGGGTATGCATGGACTAGTAGCCAAACTCAAGGATCTCAAAGCTTGTCTCAAGGCTTGGAACAAGGATGAGTTTGGTCATATCTTTGATAACCTCAATAAGGCTGAAAAGCATGCTTCTACCGCCCAGCAGTTATACGAAGAGAACCCAACGGAGGCCAACCGTGAATTAGCCCAGGAAGCTAACGCCAGGTTACTTCTTGCCACCCACAAGGAAGTTGTCTATTGGAAACAAAAAGCCAATGCCA